GAAATGGTATCATTTGGTTAATTGTACTTTCTGGTACATCCTCAATTTAATTCAATTTCATCAGCTACATACTAGTTAAATACTAGTCTTTTATATAGATATATATATACATATATATATATGAATGCGGAATGCTTATGTTTTAAATAACAATGCTTGATATTTCTTGTCAGATTATTGATATTAAACCAGTATTACTATGTAGCAGTTCTAAAACATAGCAGAGGGCATATAAGGAATTTTGAAGGTTACAAATACACACCTACTATTATTTTGCATAAAAAAAAAGAGTTTCGGTCAACACATTTTGCTGAATGTTAAAAATGTATCGTTTAAAAGGTAAGCAAATATTTACGGTTTCATCGAACTTTTTGCAATAATTTCACCTTAGTAGGAAAGCTCTCGCTTAGTGTATATAAATACGGTATAAGCATAGAAGTTGCCATAAAATCTTTATAGTTAACTTAAGTGAAAAATTACGATAATTTTTCTATAGAAGAATATAATTACGATAAGCTAAATAACTCTGGTCAAATATATAGCAAATTACGATAGATATTCGTTATCCTTACACAAGGAGCTTTTAGTGCTTTATTTAACATTTGGTAGAAATGCACGCGCTAAGATATCGTTTATAGCGTACATATTTGCTATAATAATAATTTATAACATTCTTCAAAATTTTTTGTTTGTCTATTTAAATATTATAATATAATATTTATTACTTTTAAAATTTTTAATTTTATTTAATTTTTTATTTCGCAAGCTCGTGCATCACCATTTATAATTGTGTGACATTTTGAGCAGTGCGTTGGTATAAAAAAGTGAAACAGTTTGTTAAAAAATCAAAACCAATTATTCAATTACGTTTTTGACCCAACGAATATAGCTCAGAAAATGGGTTTTTTAATCTAAAAAATATTTCCAAAAATAAATGATTTTATCAAGAAAAAATTAAAACTCAAAAGATAGTCGACATCACTGAAATCATTTAATTAAAAAATTTTTTTTTGTTTTTATAAGAAAAATAAAGTGATAGATAAAATCAATACTTAAATCGGAAATAAAAAAAAAAAAAGAAAAAAGAAAAATGGTATTAAAAAAAAATTATATTTTATCACTTAACTCAGAAGTGTTTGAGCGCTTGTCAGAGATGTTCACCAGCAAAGAGCAAATACGCTCTACTCTACAGTTTTTATTCGACACAGGTGAAAACTCAAGTCCGGCAGTTGAAAATGTGAGTAGAGTTTCTGGTTCTGATACTGGAACAGTCTATCATGCGCAAATTTAGTTTCGCCAATTGATTTCCGGTAATTTTGATGTAAATGATGTCCCACTGTGTGGTAGATCAATTGTCGAAAATGTCGATAAAATAATGGAAATCGTCGAGTCTGACCATCTGCGAATCACTGCTCAGTTGTAACAAAATCTTTTAAAGAAGGGCATAGTAAGGCAACACTTACAGCAACGTCAAACGAAAATAGTCGTAGTTGAATTCTTATCATCATTTAACAGAATATCAATACCACTAGGTTAAAATAAACAGAATTCTGTACACTCAATGTTATTGACGGCAAAGGAAACCAATAGAAATAGAATAGAATTTTAGAATTATAAGTCCTCTGATTCGGTGCGAAAAGTCAGTATACAATGCACATTCCTTCACTTAAGCCTATGAAAATAAATAAATTCTTTTGCTACAATAACAATTTGTGTAACAGTGTTTTTTCACATGTTTACGTGAGTGCCCACTCTTGCTATAAATGGACTTTCAACCACCTACGAAAGCTTGCTATTATGCGCATATAAAGGTTACGTACATATGTACATGTATGTATATATATTTGTCGTCCTGGAACCGCTGAAGAGATTTTCGATTCATTTACACAAAATACCGTTTCCCCCAATGTAAATGCTTACAAGACCGTATTTAATCAACTAACAGAAACTTCGCGTTCAATTTATCGCCTACGATATTACATACGGAGGGGTTGTTTTAATGTAATAGAGCTATTTTAGTGAGAAAAAAAAGGAAATTTTCTCATCAAATGCTTGTGGTATTCACTTTTTATATTTGAAAAGTTCTCTACGATATGAGGAACAAATGGCCTGGTTCCTTGTTTTACTAAACAAGTGGCAAGTGGTCCGCCAAAGTTTCAGTTCTAATGAGCTTGCTCTATTTGCCGAACGCCATAAATTCGCTTTGCCTGCCAAATCAACGGTGTTCTTACTCAGCTGCGGTATGCGTGAAGCCTCCACCGAAATTAAATATGAAAATAAATATCCGAAGTCAAGACACCACCAACTTTATCGAATTTTTAACCGTTATCGAAAATCCGCGCGGCTGTGGAGGGATTGGCATGTAAATTTTGGGAGAAAGTGAAAACGAAGCCTTTCGTCTTCACGTACAACTACCTGCATTGGCGCGTTGGTCACTAAAAGATTTGGTCAAATTGATTAGAAAATTGCGCTGCTGTACTGCAAATGAGTGGTCCTAGCAAGAAGATGCTGTAGATTTCGTAATGCATTTATCCCAAGTTGCTTGGTTGGCGGCTGCATAAGATATTGTGTCAGGCTTATTCGGCCTTAGCAAATTTATATATTCATAAGAAGTCAAACTTACTTTTCATACATAAATTTATTAACATATGTATATGTATATATCGTATTTTTTTACATTTAAAATCATACTCTTCGTCATCTGCTGAGGGGGATTCATGAGAATTCTTATCGCTATTTATTGTATTTAACATAAAACCAAAGATTGCTGGAAAGCCATGAGTGGGAAGTTGAAATCCATTATTTTATGATTTAAAATTTCAGATAAATCTCTGCTTTATCTCTTCGGCATGTACCGGGAATGTTCAAAAAAAAAATAAAATTAAAATTACCTGACTTTTAAAAAATTTTCTTAAGTAGTTATGATCTCCAACTTTATCCAAAAGCTAAACAGTGAACAGTTATGCGGTAAAATTCGAGTAACGTTTTTGAACACTCCCTCCCCGTTTGTAGAGATCCACGTTGGTTGGATCATCCTTGGCGCATCATCTTCCCGCTGTATTACAGGTGGCTAAAGTAATCCTTTCGGAGGATGGGGCCATGTGAAAAAATTCTCGTAAGTGTGGAAAATTTATGGCTACCATTCGCCTGCCCATGAAGAAACAATTCCTTTACATATTGTTCAAGCAGCTCTTGACCTCCCGACTTAGACCAAGTCTCCTCTGGGTAGCCAAGAAACATTAGTTTGAAGGCGAGCTAAAGCGAAAATGCGAATTCCGCTGCTGCTAGTATACTGATAAAGCACACAAGGTTTCGGGTGAACGAACCATATCAATAAGACTAAAGGCTTGCATTACCGCCGTCAAAGAATTGCGATGAACGGAACGAAGAAAGAGAGTCCTAGAGAAATCTATATATTACAGCGGCTATATAAGGGAGAGCAAATTTGATTCAGATTTGTGTTGCCGTCTAGCCAGATGAGTAATTGTTTCGGTTGTATTAAAAAAGAATCTATGATATCTCGAGATGGAAAGACTGCGATCACAATCAGAATAGACAGCCGTAGGGCTTTCTCCTCGATTTGCCCTCCTGCTCTCTGAGAGTACGCTTCAGCAACTCGATATAAGGGAACGTCGCTATGTACCAGAAGTACGGGATCAATTGGTTTTCGGGAGTACCGGAAAAGAGCTGATACGACGGCGAGTACAGCCTGCCTTGCAACCCTGCGATACAACACCTACAGGATGGGTGGCTGAAATACGTGAGAATGGATTGCCGCAGAAGCTAGCGACAAGAGTAACCTTGAATATTCTATGTAAGGATGCAGCGATTTACAAAAGCTTTCAAGACCGGTGCATTCCCATCTCGATAGTTAGATGTGTAAGAAGGATATACACCGCGACTAGTGGTCGTCCAGGAACCGAGGAGGTAATCTAGCGAGAGGAGATCGGAGTATATTTAATGTATGTAGGGAACACATCTCCAGCCTGCTAAATGTCAGTGCAATAGCAGGTGATGGTGAGCCTGAAATTCCAATCGATGATGATGAAAGAGACGAGTTTCGAATAGTTATGAACAGTACGAGTTATGCGTTGAAATTCATATAGTTCAGCAAGTGAAGAGAAAGCGGTCATATCGTCCGTATTGATAAAAACACTCCAGCTTTGATAGTATTCGATGCAGTATCCGCTGGTGGAAGCAGAGAAAAAGGAAAAATGGAAAGAAAATAAGGAACGAATGGCATCATAGTTGATTCAGCTTTTAGCGCGACATTCGCTGAGGAAGAAAAATGAAGGCATTTGGGATAAAATGCTATGTTATATATACAAAGTCTGCTTGCGCAAAGGATCTATTCTCCATGCATCGATGAAGGCTAAAGTCATCTTTATTCCAAAAAGTAAGCAGTGCCATTCAGTCTCGTTACGTTTCTTTTAAAGATCTTCTAACCGACATCTATATATGTACATTCGTATGACGAAAGCTTTTTGGGTTGCCTCTCATTAGCAACACGCACGAGCTCTCATCCAGACCATTGTAAAGCACGTGGTAGATCTGCTGATAAACAGGTTCATCTTCGCTGCGAGGTATACTGTTGAAATTGGATTGATTAATTTATATGTGACCGCTTAAACACTGGAAAGCGGTTCGGTAATAATTAAAAAAAAAAGAATGAATTCTGAGGATTTATGTTTAGTAAAACCTGACCACAAAATATTCGCTTATAGAAGCTCTCGTTCAATGGAGCGATTTCTAAGCACACATTTCAATGTGCTGTGCTTTAAGCTTTAAGCTCCCACATTACACATGACTTAGCTAAGAAAGCTTACTTTACGTTCGAAATACGTCTACTGTGCAGTTGGCTTTATGAACTTTTATCAAAGCAAAGATTTAATATTATTGTAAAATATAATTTTTTTTAGTAAGCTTTAGCGATGGAAGATTGTTCAAGGGGCTATTAGCATATGAGTTTAGGAATCACTTCATCAGTTGTATTTGAAACGTGTTGGTGAATGGTGTTTCGGTGTAAAGCATATTAATTTTTACTTAGTTTCTGATTGATACATTAAAACTTGATGTTAAACCTAAGATTATTTATTTTAATTAGTGCTTTTGGCATTTCCAGAGGTGCGTAAGCATATGAGTTTTATGTACTTATATACTTACATATTTATGTAAGTGGGTATGCATATAATAAATAAAATAATATGGAAGCCGGTTTAGAACTTTAACACAGTTTAACGATATATTATTTTCAAGAAAAAAAAAAAAATAAAAAATCTGAGCTGCTTACATTATAATTTTGTAATTATTATTATTTTTTGCATTGAATTTAAAACAACATTCCATTACGATATCAACATTTTTTACAATTACATTCTCAGCTAAAATATTTTTTCGTCCGGATCACACTTTCGATAAGAACTGCACTCTACCCAATGGTGAGCAGGGCATTTGCCGAAGCTTTATGGATTGTGGCACAGCCGTGGCCGAAGCGAGTGAGCGACCGAAAACATGTTATTTTGAAGGCAATGATCACTTTGTTTGCTGTCGTGTGCCACGACCCTCCGATTTAGGTGAGAGAAATACTTAGATATTGAATATACAAATTTTGCTTAGATTTTTTTTAAACTAAATAACGTTTCTTTTTAATTCAGCCTGCACAGAATATAAATTACCGCGCCCAGAAGTGATCAATGGCCTACCAACTGAACCAAGGGAATTTCCATATATGGTAAAGTAAAAAAACTGTTAGAGGGAGAGAGGGAGAGAGAAAGGAAAGAGAGGGGGTAGAGAAATGGAGAGAAAAAATAGAGAGGGGAGAGAGAAAAGAGAGAGAGGGAGAGAGTAAAAAATGATAACCAGGGGGAAATGGATAGAGAGAGCGAAGAGAGAAAAAAGATAGGGGAGAGAGAAAAGAGAGAGGAGAAATAGAAATAGAGAGAGAAAAGAGAGTAGAAATAGAAAAGAGGGAGGGGAAAGAGAGAGCAGAAATAGAAAAGAGGGAAGGGAGAGAGAAAAAAGAGGGAGAAAGAAAAGAGAGAGGGGGAGAGATAAAATTACAATTAGGGAGAGATGGAGAGAGAAGGGAGAGAAAACAGAGAAAGGGCAGAAAAAACAGAGAAGATGGAGAGAAAAAAAGAGAGAGGGGAAGGAGAAAGAGATAGAGGGGAGAGAGAGATAGACAGAGGGAAGAGAGAAAAAAGAGAGGAGTTAGAGGAGTGAGAGAAAAGTGAGAAGGGAGAGAGAAAAGAGAGAGGATGAGAGAAAAGAAAGTCAAAGAGAGAAAAGAGTGAGTGGGAGAGAGAAAAGAGAGGAAGAAAGAAAGCTAGCGAGTGAGAGGGAGAGAAACAAACAGACGGAGAGATAGTAAATTATAAGATAGGCTGCGGAGTTGTGCTACAACTTCCTCCAATCTTTCATGCCTTACAGCTGTAACACCCGGCTGGAACAGCATTCAGTTTCATTTCTTTTGATAAACTGCGCATTTTCTTAGTTTATTTAATATTCGTTTGAAAAAGTCAATACCGGCAACTTTGTATAACAGCGAACAATTAGCTAAACCGGTTTTACGGTGATAATCAAATCGCCGCTGGTTTCTGCGAGATAATCGACAGTAACAGCATAGGCAAGCGGTGACAACTTTTCATTAACATGGAGCTCTCATAAGATAGGTTGCTATGACTGGGAGATATGTAAGAACGGGTAGTTTTAACGGTTTCGATTCCTGATCAAGACAACATCAAGAATTTTTTTTCCTTATTTTGGTCACTTCCCGGCTTAGAACAAATTAATTGTTCCTCCATTTATTGACTTGACGGAAAAACGCTCTAGCAGCTACAAGTAAGGAAAACTTATTGGAACCTTTAAGTCGATACTTACAGAAATCGATGTAACTCTTCTATCAAAATCTAAGTAACATAATCGGAAAGCTATGACATACAAATTTTGCTGTTTTGTGTACTGACTGTGTAAAGCAAAAGAAAAGACATATCAAGTTGTATTAAGTCACAGTTTAGCGGTTGATTCGTAGACAGAGACTTTAAAGGTAAATTGGAATACGGTCAATTTATCTATCTACTGCAGAAAAGCTTCTCTTCAATTTCCTACTAAGCTCTTGAATTTCTATTTAGCCATCTTGCTTTGGAGATGACCATACATCTCAAGTAAACCACAATACTCCGTAAACGGCTAAATGAAACTTGAACCCAGACAAGCAGTCGTGAAGCCCACGTCCGTTCAATCAACTCCACTCAAAATTGCCCAAAGCTTGAGAGTGCCTCACTACTAACAGAAGCTGTCCTATGTTTACCTTCTATCATACTCTAGCCAACTTAATCAGACCCATGATTTTGTATGATGAGCACTAAAATATCCCAGGCAACCTCACTTTAGCTGTGAAGGAGATGTGGGCATACCTCTTTCTTCGGTAAAGCGCATGCTTACACGAACGGTTGAATATTAAGTTAGTCCTTGCCTAGTCTTCAACACATCTCGACATGATTTATGCAGGACTTAAAGTTGTTATGCCTGTGTGCAATTGAAAACAGGTGTTTAATCTCAAATCGTCTTCATCGAATGAAGGGTCTCTGACAAGAGGCCTGTCGAATGCTTTACTTGTTTTTTTTTCTTTTTTGTATTGAAAGAGATTTTTTATGTGATGTATCTCTCTAGTCTGCTCACCTTAGCTTGCTTCCCAACCAAGAGAAGTCGTGAAGGACTGCCTCTTATTCCATGCTCCCTTTAATATTGAGAACTGTAAAGTATTTGTTAACTTCTAAAATAAATTCAACTTACCGATTATTCATTTACAGGTCGCTCTTGGTTGGAACACGTCAGAGACAAGTGTCTATGACTACAAATGTGGTGGTGCCTTAATCGGCCCCGATTGGGTTCTAACCGCCGCACATTGCACTTCGTCTGGAGGGTGAGTTTTTTTTGCTCGAGAAATAGATACATAAGTGTAAGAGTGTTTAATATTCTAATCTGTATTTATCATTCCTCTTTTTCTTAGCGAAGAGCCCGCTGTAGTGCTCGCGGGTGGTGTGAATTTGACCAGTAAAAGATTTCCACCAACGCCAATCGAAAAAATTATTATTCATCCAAATTATGAACATAAAATAGTTTACGACGATATTGCGCTTATCAAATTGACAGGTGCGCCGTAAGTGGAAAATGAAAAAAAAATAATGTAATGAATATTATTAAACGAGATAAATACTTTATTCACCCGTAGACACGAAGGTGAGCCAGCATGCATTGGCGATAGATTGCCTTTAATTGGACGAAATGCGACTGCTGTTGGATATGGTCACACTGTTTTTGGTAAATTTGGACAAAAAATATATTTTAAAATACTTTCATACCAGTTTTTAAATTTTTTAATAATTTTTTAAATAGTTTTTACATTTTTGAAAACAAAATTACACCCATATACACACATACACCCTTTATTTATTTTTTCCTTTTTACTTTTATATTTATTTTTTGAAATTAAGTTTTTTTATTTTTTTTATTCATTTTTTTTTGATTTTTGGTATTTTAAATTTTAAACTAAAGTTTTTTCTCCAGGTGGCCTGCCTTCTGAGCAACTTTTGAAAGCTTATCTACTCACTATTGAGACCCCGCAATGCCAATTCCATTACAACGATGAGGAGGCGATCCCCAATGGTTTAAGGGATACACATTTGTGCGCAAAAGATTTACAATTTAAAAGAGACACTTGTCAAGTAAATAAGGATTTTTTTTTTAATTTTTAATGAATATTAAATTAAAAAATTCATCTTTACTCTCTTCCTCCAGGGCGATTCTGGCGGTCCATTGATCATAAAGAATGATGGTTTATATAAACCTGAATCCTATGTAATCGGAGTCACCTCATTTGGTAATGGTTGCGCGACCGACGCGCCGGGTGTTTATACAAATGTGGCAAAATATTTGGATTGGATTGAACCGATTATATGGCCACATTATATACCAAAGAAAGTGGCTTAAGAAGTGAAAGAGAATATTTATGAACATTCAAGTGAGATAACGGTGGTAAGATCTCCAATTAGTTAATTAAAAATTATTAATTATATATAAAAGTTGCTTGAACTTTCTTATTATTATTGAAATAATTAATAATAAATAAATAATTTAAATTTACGTCTAATTGCTGTTACGAAAGCATTCAATCGAAAGCCAGCGGCATTGCTTATGCTTTTTGTTTGTTTGATTGTAATATTATCTTCGCTCGGGTACATCACCGAAACCAGAGCTGCTTGTCAGCTGTACGACAAAACAACTTTTAAAATTATTTACAAACATAAATTAATTGAATTTAGTATGTACAGTGGGGAACAAAAGTGATTCCACGTTCAACGTTTTCATGTTTGAGCTCACATAAATTTTAAACGAATAAAGTAAATGATAAAATTTTTTTTTTTATTGAACACCTTGTTTATTTTTTACAATTAGGCGTTTATAACAAAATAAAAAAAGAAGAAACTGCTAAAATTCACCAAGGAACACAAGAATTGAACAATAGTAGACTAGAAAAGTGTTAGCTGGCCGGACGAATCCAAGTATAATCGTTTTCAATAGGATGGAAAGCAATACTGTTGGAGGAGACCTGGTGACAAGCTTCAAAGGCATCATGTGAAGCAAACCGTGAAACATGGAGGTGGCTACATAATGGCATGGGGGTGTTTCACATATTTGACCGATGGACCGTTGTACAAAATTGACGGGATTATGCGAAAAGAAGACTATTTGAGCATTTTGCAAACGCATCTTCCCAATTTTCTTGACCAGTGTGCGTACTCAGAGCAGGAATACATTTTTCAGCAAGATGGGGATCCCGAGCACACTGCGAAAATTGTTAAAAATGACTCAGAAACAACAAATTTTAAGATGATGGAGCGGCCAGCGCAAAGTCCCGACCTTAATCCGATTGAAAACCTATGGTCAATCAATCAGCCCCATCCAACTTGAAGCAGCTTTGGAGGCGTGTTGAACAAGAGTGGAATAATATTCCGAAAGGAATATTCGAAAAATTAGTTGAAAGTATGCCAAAACGTATGAAAAATATCAAAGAAATTAAGGGTCTCTGGACCACATATTAATAATCAATTTATTTACATGCCGCTTGTTTTTGAACCATTACTATTCTATAGCTTCTTCAATTTCTTTATTTCTTACGTTTTGTTGTTACCAATAAAATACTATTAGTTTAGTTTTTAAGTGCTCCCATACATGAAAACGATGATCGTGGAATCACGTTTGCTCCCCACTGTATGTATGCATATTCTCACTTTGCATCTCACACCGCCCAATATTATTGACTGTAGAAATGTAAATAATATGAAAATGTGTAATTAATTACACAAGTATACGCGGATTTGGACCTAGACAACCGAGGGTTGTTTCTAAGCTAATTTGTGACGCTCAATCCTAATCTTCAATACATTTATTGCAACTCGAAAATTTTTTTTTTGGTAATATGTAAATCTATTAACTATAAAATGAGGAACCAAGCCAAGTAATGCTGCACCTACCATCGTACCTTCCATCTATAGCAACCTATCTTATGAGGGCGTAATGTAAATGAAAATTGGTCACCGCTTGCCGATGGTTGTTCCGCAGAAAATGCTCGAGTTTTTGTATCATATATTCTATTATAGTCGGGTGTTATGGCTGTGCGGTATGCAAGATGAATAGTTGCAGCCTAAGTCAAAAAGACTAACTCCGAAAGAAGTATTACCTCATTGAAATCAACACATCTAAAGGAAAACACCCTTTATACGAAAGTTGCCAGTGCTTCCCAAAATCTTTAGTGCTTGGTATGATGGCGTATAATTTATCTTGGAAAAAAATTTAATATGCTTTAATCCTTCGCAAAAATTTCGCTTACCATAAGCCTACCTCTTTTCAGCTTAAAACCGATGTTATAATATTTCATGCATCTGAATTTACAACATTTATACTTTCAAAGAGATGGCAACTATATTTAAAGAATTTTGAACAAACACAGCTGTAAAGTTTCTTAATGATGATTGTATTATATATTTTATAATTATATAATTAATTTAATTTAATTTTTTTTAATTAAAAATTTTCTAAAAAAGAGCTAAATACCAATTGTAATTAAACTTAAATAGAAGAGACTTGCCTTTTTTATTTAATTTCACTAATTTCAAATATTTTATTGCAAACCTAACAGTACAAGTACTGTTTTATTAATATTATTTATTTTTATTTTCCCTTTGATATGAGTACTACTTTCAGTACACCCAGTGCTATAGTGACAAAGCTGCCTTGAATTTCTGACTGGGTTTTAGTAAGCACTACTACATTGATAATAAAGCTTAAACGCATACCTACGCAATTGTAGCATTCAAGCTCATGTGTGGACTCACGTACACTGTATGTGTGAGCTTTTCGAGTTACCACTTATTTAGCATCCATATTCAATAATAATTAGGGTTGGTGTCTGAAGTTTGTGAATTATCCTGCGAGCTTTTAATTTTGGCTATCTTTAAGCGTAGACACTGAGAAAAGCAAACAGTTGGGGTTGTCTTTTATATTTCGGGATATGGCAATCCTAGTGTACCAATTCGTTAACTTGCAACTTTACCGTAAGATTTAACAATTTTTGATTTTATGCATACTCAAAACGTTTTGACAAACGAGTGCTTTTTGTGTTGTTTTCATTAACTTTAAATACTCACGGCGCCCAAAAATTAGAATCAAATCGAGTAAATTTTTGCGTGGTTATTTCATTACTATTTTCGTCTTGGATTCTATAAAGGACCTGTGTTTATCGATAGAGTGCTGAATTCAAACGAGGTCGTATATCACTTTAAGACGAAAATCTGTTGTTGTTCCGGAAAGGATTGATGCTGGGCGCAAACTGATATTGCGAGATAGTCATGTGACCTATCGTGATTCAATATCGCATGAACATTTGACAGTAAAAAATATGTTCACTTTAGATCCCGCGCAATTTGTCCATCGCTCAAAAAAATGGCTCGTGCCGATTGGTCGGGAGAAATGTTCAAAAAAAAAAAAAAAAAAAAAAAAAAAAATAAAAGGTTGCNAAAAAAAAAAAAAAAAAAATACGATAGCGGTGCTTCGAAAAACGTCTATGACGTCATGAGAGATAATTATTTCTGAATTTACGCATATGAACCCGAAAGTAAAAAGCAGTCGGTTCAATGAGTGTTTAAAGATGAACCGAATTGTACAAAAAAAAGAATATTAAATTCTGAGTGGTAGACAACTATTTGTTTGCCAGTTGTTTTTCAAGAAATTACGAAAATCAACTGCCGAAGACTGCAGTGCGAACTCTCACACATCAGTTGAAACAACTGTATTTTGAGCACTCAAAACATCGATTTGATGAGTATCCATCGATTTGATGGTAAGAAATAAAGTGAGGGGTCAAAGTTTTTTGACACCTGAAGAGGCGGTTGAAGTGGTAAAAGTGCTTCGGAAAATGGTTCAGAGGAATGCAAAAGGATATAGAACTCAATGGATTTTTTAAGAGTTATAGGAAATTTAAACAAAAAACACATAAAATTCAGAAAAATGTATGAATTTTTTATTTGAATCGATAGTACGGTCCATTTAATTTAATGTTTGAAGATTATTTCATACAAACGTTAACGGTGACTGCGACTCAAATGGTCCATTCGCTTAGTCCAATTTTGGCATACTCTTTGCCTCTTGTCAATTGAAGCGTGATTGTCTGTATAGACATTAGATTTAACATATCCCAACAAAAAATAGTCTAAAGGCGTTAAATCGCACGATTTAGGCGGCCAATTTACCCGTCCCGAACGTGAAATAAAATATTCACTGCACTTCCCTCTCAATAAGTCCATTTTTAGGCGTGCTATGTGGCATGTGGCCCCGTCTCGTTGAAACCGCATGTCATGCAAGTCAAGTTCTTGCATTTTGAACAAAAAAAATTTTTTTGATATTATCTAACATAGTGCTCACCATTTACAGTTGCGTTACAATTTGCATCATCATTGAAGAAACACGGTCCAATGATGCCACCAGCCCATAAACCGCACCAAACTCTGACTTTTGGACTGGATGCATTGGTAGCTTTTGCAATGCTTCGACAATTCTTATTTACACCCCCATTAAGCCAAAAATGAGCTTAATGAAGGGCCGGAGGAGACTCGGAATAAATTGTAGGTCTCCTCATTTGTTGGAGAATCTCAAGACACACATCATAAACTGTAGTAAGAGTCCGGCCGAAAATCGCTTCAGCGGGGTACCTGTTTCGGGTTCTCTGCGTGGTTATATTTATAACAAAATATGAGCGTTGAATTGAGAATCTTTTTTTCTTCGGTTGAGAAATTTTTTTGAAATACATTATTAAAAAAAATTTTTTACGGTTTGAATTTTTTGCTTAAAATCGCAAACGCTTCAAAGCGCTCAAATAATACTCTTTATTGACCGTCAGTGCCGTTGGAACGAATTTATGATGAATCAAACCGCGAGTATCAAAAAAAAGAACAATTTCCGGAAACTTTCTGGTCGCAGTGTTGCCTTATATGTACATATATGTGTGTATGTATTTAAGTTGTATTTTTAATTTTTGTTTATAAAAAATACTATTTATTTAATGGTGTCAGTGTTACTTTTCTTATCAGATTTGATTTATTGCATTCACAACGCTTTCGTTTTCAACAAAATAACTTTTAGTCTCAGCTTAATTGTGTCAACAAAGTGTTAATGTGCGCCAATTGAATTTAAGTCTCAAATCATTTGAAGAAATTTGAAAAAAAATGTTATTCCAGTGCTTCTTATTGGTGTCAGCTTTCATATTTATAAAAGGTGACTACACTTTTTATGCATTATTATTATTTAAAATTCTTTAAATATGCCAAAGAGTAATTCCGTTCCAGCACAGATGCCAGACCGCATCATATTTCCCGATACCGATGACTTTGAAACCGAGTGTACGCTTGTGAATGGCGAACAAGGCATGTGTCGGAACATTAAATACTGTCCGAGCGCATTCGATTCCAGAGAACGTGTAAGAACCTGCTATTTCGAAGGCTTCGAACAATTTGTTTGCTGTCGAGATGTGCCAAAGGCATCGCCAGCAAGTAGAGGTATTTTTGAAATAATGAAAAAAGTTTGTGAAAAATTAAAAATCGAAATTATTTTACTTAATTTTAAATACTCCAGTCCCGAGACAAAATATCTCTTTATATGAAATGCAATCTATAATTTGGACGAATTTCACAAATTCTGTTAAAAAACATCCAATATTTTTTTCTTTAAATAATATTTTTAATTATTTTATTTCATATTCCAGCTTGCTCCAGTTATTACCCATCCGTCGAGCACATGGTGGGCGGTCTCAGTACACGACCTAATGAGTTTCCGTATATGGTTTGTTTTCATTGTAAATTATTCAGGACTTGGTTAAATATTTTTTTTATTGAATTTTAGGTAGCCTTGGGCTTTGAAACAATGTTGCCAGATTTTTATGAATTCAAATGTGGAGGAGCTCTGATCGCACCCGATTTTGTATTAACAGCAGCACATTGCGCGCGTGTTGGAGGGTAAGTTCGGTTGTTGTGCAGAAGTTTTGGAGTTAGAAAAAGTCTCATTTTCCTTTTCATGATTGGCGTAGTGAGCGCTCATGCGATTATAGTATTATATACAGTAGCGCGCGAGTCATTTCTTCATTTCACAATTTTGTTGTCAAGAAAAGTCAGGTGCTTCTGTTCCTGATTTTATCACCGAAGTGGAGGTCTTCTTCCGGTTAATTCGTGGTAGTTGGATACTGAAGAGAATACTTTAAACACTGTAGTTTCCTCTTCCATTCGAATGACATGTTCTAGTTAGTATAGTCGCTGTCTCTTAGTTTGCTGAACGATGTCGGGGATACCTAGATATATCTAATCTTTGCTAGTACGTAGCATTCATTAGTTATCCTTAGATCCTAAGAAAAAAACTTCTTTTCGACAATCCTCAGGGCTGACTTACCAGATTTTGCTACCGTCAACACTTCTCTAGACTTTTAAAAGACTTTATTTTAAAATTGCTGCGACTCGACTCTAGAGGAAATTCAGCACGAGCGTGCACATAGGGATATACCAGATATGGGCGCGTCGAATGAGCTGGCGGAAGAGGGAACTTTTTAACTGATACGGTCTGTGCAAATGATGCGGGTATACCGTTATCATCTACATTAAAATATATGTCAATACTAGAGTGCCTTAAAAAGTTCAGTACTTGATGCCAATAGGTCCGAAATATGGGTACTCTCGGTAATATCGGGATGCTCCTCAAATGTCTTTTTTCCGAGCTATAAGGCCGTGGAGAAGGCAGAGCACTACCTCTGTCAATGTCAAGCATAGGAAAACATTATTTCCACTGCCAGGCTGAGCTTACCACACTGAGCATTAAAAATCTAACAACATGTTTAAGGCTTAGATAAATTTTTTTAGGACTTCAAATTATATCTACGGTGATGGGGGTACCTTCTATTACTCCGTTCTCTAGCTTATTTTATTATTATCTTGGCTTAGTATCGATTTCGACAATCTTTTGATGTTACACACACGCGTCAGTTTTGCGAGAAAATTTTTTTTGCGCTATTCAAGGTCGCTTTAAAATCGACGAAGTAGAAAAGTCTATTCTGAAGTGAACCCATCATTTTCTGAAGGTATTTTTCAAGATAAGGCACAAGATGACTATTATATCATTTAGAGTAGGACTGAAGTCACACTACTCCGTGTTGTTTCGTACATTGACGGTGGGATATAATATTTCACACTATATGCGATAATTAGGGCAGACTTTGTACTCCAAGAAATTATGGATTTGACAGAGTGTGCATGAATCCAAACATTTTATACACAGAGAAATCATATAGGATTTGTTTACATCATTTCTTAGCATCTCTCCCAGAAAGTAAGCGATTTGGTAGTTCTCAACATTGCGTTATTTATCGCCACTTCAGTGTCTCACACCTCATCGCGCCAGCTCTGCTTTCGACATTAGCGAACAGAAATTTTTCTCTGGCGACAGTATGTGAGGATCTTGAAATATATTCCACAGTTCCCTTATATCGGGTTGCTGATGAGTACTCGGAGAAATACTGGAAACATGATCTTCAAATATTAATTAAATTTGATGAAATTTCTTGCGCTGAAATCCGATATTGCAGAAATCGAAATTCGGTTTCCACTTTTGATATTCGAGGCACATATTTGAATAGTAGCCCAGTAATACAAATTTTTTCTTCATGGAATCAAAAAATTATAGCTCTTCCTCGGATAAAATATCTTGAATGTTAAGTTATTTTTATAATTAAATATCTTTTTATTTTTATTTATAATTTTTTTTTCTTAATATTTTTTTTATCAATCTAATTGATCTCATGGAAATATTATATAACATTTCTTTGAAATTTGCTTTTGTTCCGTGCAAATGTCACCATCTGAAGAAGCAACCTCAAAACAATTGTTATTCATTTCGTTCTTCCAAAGATTACTCGTTATAAGCTTCTCTATTGCAGCGCCACACCTATAGTGGTCTTGCCAGGCGGTGGTAGTCTGACGGATTATGCAGTAAAGAAACATAAAATCTCCGACGTTTTAATACACCCTGGATATAATTCAAAGGATGCCTACAACGACATTGCTCTGCTTAAATTAAAAGAGCCCATAAAGTTAGCAAGAATTTTAATTTTTTTATATTTTAAAATATTGTGCTTAGACAAAAAAAAATTATATATATTTTATATTACAAACGCAGACAATTTCAACCAGCTTGCGTTGGCGAAAACACCTTATTGGATAATGAGAATATCACAGCTATAGGTTATGGTCATACACTATTTGGTAAGAGAGAGACAAAAAGAGAGAGAAAACAAAAAAGAAAAATAAAAATTTTCGGTTGCATAACGTTTTTTCTCTCTTCCAGGTGGTCGATCTTCTGATGATCTATTGAAAGCTTATCTACTCATCGTGAGCAATAAGGAGTGCCAAAAGCATTATGAAGATGCCACTGAGTTGCCGAGAGGTCTAATGAATGCCCAGCTATGCGCAGAAGACCGACAATTTGGGCGTGACACTTGTCAGGTGAGAACAGAAATAAATTTATTTCAAAATCCAAAGTAAATTTCAAAAATTCCTCTATTTTACACAGGGTGACTCTGGCGGACCACTGATTTTCTACAGCGCCTTTGTGCCCTACGTTGTTGGCATAACATCCTTCGGATTTGGTTGTGCCGCGGGAACGCCGGGAGTGTATACGAGAGTATCAATGTTTCTCGATTGGATCGAGCCAATAGTGTGGCCAAAATCTTAAAATAAATAACGAATTAATTAAGATAAATTTAAAAAAAAAATATACATAGTAAGATACATGTAAACAGGACTTTTTTTCATAAATATTTCTGTATTTTTGTACTCTACTACCTTAGCTTACACATAAAGATTATTTCATCAAATGGAATACATATCATATTTCCGCTAATTTAAACTCTTAATTACTTTGTTCTGAAAATCCGCTTCAGTGCCCATAATTGCCCCAAACCGTGTGCTCAATCCAATCTAGAAATGAGTAGATACGTGTGTAGACCCCTGGGTTTTGGCTGCGGCAAAGCAAACCAAACGAGGTGATGCCACTCAAATGGTAATGTATGCGCTTCCTGCGCCGTTTGCCTCTGATATTGTACTGCAATGGACCGCCGGAGTCGCCCTGCAGGAAAGCAAAACAAACAAAAAAAAAAAAACAAAAAATATTAGGAATCCATACATTTAAAAATCTTCTCGTCCGCACCTGACAGGTGTCGCGTTGCATTACAAAATCCTGTGCACAAACTTGACTCTCAATTATGCCACGTGGCACTTCATCCAACTGTGGCAGCCGCCGATTGCAGTCATCGTTGCCAACGATTGTCAAATTGAAATCGGTGAGTCGTTGTGTGGGTGCGCGTGCGAATGAGGTGGCGCCATAGCCCATGGCGAAGGCTGTGGCGAGCGGCAGGTCGGACTGTGTCCACAATCTTATGGGACGCACGAATTCCGTGAATCTGTTGAGGGAAATAAAATAAATTCAGCAAATATAAGAAATTGCATGTGTGTGCTTTAACTCACTCCACGCTCCCATTCAACAGCAATAAGGCTATGTCATTGTAGTAGGTCACCCCATCATAGCGTGGATGTGTGTATATGCTGCTTATGCCAAATATTTGTGGTCCTGGATTATCCTTATTCACCATCAAATTCGTTTCGCCAATACGTGCTATTGTGGGTACTTCGCTGGAATAGAAGTTACCAATATGGTTAGGTGGAGGCAAGGATATGCAGAGTATAAAAAATAAAAGTTCTAGGGCTTGCTTTGATTGCACAAAGAATAAAAATACCATTGCACAGTAATAGTCTGGAAGTCTTTTTCTTCTTCTTTACCGATGTTGGCGCCAATCGGAAATACCTAGTTCAGCCAAGTCCTTATCATAACGGTCTTTCCAACGGGGTGGAGGTCTTCATCTTCCCTTGCTGCCAAGGACGGGTACTTCATCGAAAACTTTCAAGGCTGGATCATTCTTATACATACGGGCCACATAACCTACCCAGCGGAGATGCTGTTTCTTTATTCACTGAACTAAGTCAATGTCGTCGTATGTCTCGAAAAAGAACGATGATTCCATTGGCTGCGATATTCGCCCTTCTCAACTCGTCGAGGGCCGTAAATCTTACGCAAACTCCTAACGCAGACTCATCAGATGTTGTCATCGTCCATGCCTCAGCACCATGTAGGAGGAGATGATGGATTTGTAGAGTTTTGTTTTCGTTCGTCGGGAGAGGACTTTACTTTTAAATTGCCTAATTAGTCCGAAATAGTACCAGTTGGCAAAAGTGATTCTGCGTTGGATTTAATGTCTGACATTGTTGTTGGTGTTAATGCTGGCTCCCAGATAGACGAAGTTTTTACGACTTTAAACTTCTGACTGCAGCAGTAACGTGGGAACCGAGTTGCGAATGCGATGACTGTTTGTGTGGTGACAGGAGATATTTCGTCCTGTCCTCGCTAACTACCAGACCCGTATCATTCGCTTCCTTTTCCAGTCTGGAGAAAGCAGAACTCACGGCACGGTTTTTGAAACCAATAATGTCAATATCATCGGCGTACGCTAGCAGCTGTACACTCTTATATAAAATTGTACCTTCTATAGTAAGCTCTGCAGATCGTATCATTTTCTCCAGCAATAAATTGAAGAAGTCACACGATAAAGAATCACCCTGCCTGAAACCTCGTTTGCCATCTCACTCGGAGAGGTCCTTCGCGATCATGACGGAGCTTTTGGTGTTGCTCAAGATCAGTTTACACAGCCATATAAGTTTTGCGGGGATACCAAGTTCAGACATAGCGGCGTAAAGGCAGCTCCTATTCGTACTGTCGAAGGCGGCTTTAAAACTGACGAAGAGATGATGTGTGTCGATCCACTTTTCAAGGGTCTTTTCCAAGATTTAACGCAAGGTGAATATCGGGTCAATGCTTGACTTGATAAGACCTTAAATGCGACATTTTAAGTGGGCTTATTCTACTGTAATTGGCGCACACTGCGGGATCGCCCTTTTGTGGATTGGACAGCGGTATAAAGAAGCGACTGAACTATTGGATTTTAATTTTTCTTGAATTAGGGGGTTAAGTTAGGTTATAATCGTCGGACATGCTTTCATCCAAATAAATTCTGTAAGGTAGCTAATGCGTGCACCTTATCAACTCTTCACCGCTTTGTTTCGATAGCTCTACCAGTAGGCCGTCAGCTCCGGCTTAACCTCGTCATGCCGGGAAGTGCAACGTTTTTTCCATCCTCATCGATTGCATAAACTATCCCTTTGCACTCTCTTTTATTACGTGGGAGGGACCCATGACAGAATGTCGTTCTACGAAAATTGAGAAATAAATTCATTGGTCCATGTTTTACGAAATATGAAACTACACTTTCTCGTATAACCTGGATATAATTGTGTTTTATCGTCGAACTTCAATTCATACAAATTCATTCGATGGCAACAAAAGCACTGGAAGTTATCCTTGACTAACAACTATAACAAACAGCGACCAGTCTAAATAACCTACATAGTCACCTGAGTCCAGCAGGTTCTCACTGTGTAGGACATGGCGACTTACAGAAAGTTATAAGAGAACTCGGGCTAAATATACAAATCGAATGAAGAAACGAAATCAGGTTTAAGGCACCTGCTCCTTCTCTAACAGTTAAGAATGGACGGTAGGCAGGGTCATAGGTAATACTGTAGTAGTTCCTGATGCAATGCCAACTTAGAGCTTATCAGCTTATAATTACCCCTTGCTGGTGTCCATCTTAGCCATGCGCTCAAACATTATCATCTTTCTAATGCCAACTACTGTAATATAGTCACGCTTATAGAACGCGAGATACAGATCACTAAAGCCACCTATTGCAATGGATTACTTTTTACTAGACCTACCACCTTTTGTTATGAAATTAGGTACTAATTTATGTACGTAACTGTATGTATATGTATGTTTTTAATAATACCTCGTTATATTTGTACAATGCGCTGCTGTTATAACGAAATATTCACTTATTAAACTTCCACCGCATTTATAATCGTAAGTTTTGTCATCTCTCTCAAAGCCCAGGGCTGTCTGTGTGAAAATAAAATTAATTGGAAAATCAGTACAGTTTAAGTTATATTGAAAAAAGCACTATTTTTAAGAGATTTCTTAATAAAGCAATTGTATAATTTTCACCACTAAATAGGTTAATTGGGTTAAAAATATTATAAGCAAGCTCAAGTGTATATACGAGTATGTACAAATATACACACATACAAATGTGATGAATGTGTGCATCTCGCATGCACGTATGTATGTATGTGTGTAATTAAAAATGTAAATTCAAAACAATTTGGACACAAAATTATTGAAATGATTACGACCTTTCACCGAAAATGATCAAAAAATTGATTAAGACTACGTTATTAAAATTATTTGATTATTATTTTAAATTAAAAAAAAAAATTGGGTTTATTAAAAAAATGTATCTTTGACTTAGCTTTAGTTAAAAAATTTTGTTCTTAAAATTATTAGTAATATTTAAGTTCGAAAATGAATAAAAAAGCATTAAATTTCTTCAAGAATATTTATAATATTTAAATATCTTGCAATAATTTGTATTTATTATAGTTACATATTGACAACTAAAGGGTGATTTTTGAGCTTATATCTTTTTGGCAACACTAGTTTCAACAGATGACGTACTCATCTCAAAATGCGTGCCCTGTTAAGAAAGTTCATCGCTCGCTTCGCAGCTCATTTTTGCATTAATCATAGATAAATCTGTTAGCATTTCTGGTGTAGCTTCTTAGTTCCATCAGTGTAGAGCATCTGTGGTTTATTTGGCGAAGAACTTCACCAAATGACTTTCAACGTCCCCACGGTCGTCCAATTTTTAGTATCGAGGTAGTTTTTCAGAGACCGTTACTAACTCAGATATTACAAGATTCAAGCTATAGGGTGAGCGAAAAACTTCACAACCGAGCTCAGTAAAAAATTTTTCTGGATAGCATATATATACATATACGGTGTGCCGTTGTCATAATGTGACCTTTCCTATTGACCAATTGGGGTCGCACATTTTTTGAAGCCTGGCCACTTCTTGTCACAAAGCTCAGAACTGATGGTTGCGGTAGGTTGTAGCAGCTCATATTGACAAATTCAATTCCAATCCCACCATACTCTCTGCATTACCTTCTCTTCGGCTAATTGGTGAAGATGATTTTTTTCGTTTCATACTCTCGTATTCAATAAATTTTTAATCGCATTTCTCTAATGGCAATTCGGCTCATAATTTTTTTGCGTTAATTCATATGGAACTAAGACCTGGAGCCTTTTTGAGTAGCTAGTCTTTTGAAATAATTCTAAAATATCACGCGATACGAGTATTAACCTCTGCTTTCACGTGTTAGCTTCGATGCCAGTCTTGCTCTACCGGTCGCAGATTGGCATCGGCTTATTGAGTGATTGGCCAGAGCAAAGTGCAGCATTAACATCAAAAGTATGGAACCGAAATAAACAAACCTCATTGGGAACGGTGTTCTTTTATAGTATCTCACCGGCATGTTTTCCCTTTATATAGTAAGAGAATATCAAAAAACATTTTTCCTCGGAGATTTCACTAATTTTCAAGAGATAACCTTTCACGCGAATTTATCGAACGTCTTCCCGAAAAAATGTGACTTGAAATTTCGGCTTTCAAATACTGTTAGCTTGACACAATCGGATTAGTTTTGCCCAAGAGAAGAGAATCAACGTCATCTAGTCATACTCTTTTAATTATTCCATTCTCTGCGTATTACTGATTAGCCTTGAGAAAATATTACTTTTAGTTCTTATTGATTTCATTCTGTTTTAACCAATTTGTCTTGTCTTTAACCAATTTATTTTTCTACACTTTGCTTGCTTATTTTATATAAACAAATGTACGTATGTATGTACATATTTACACGTACACTTGAATTGTCAATAGAGATAATCTAGCTTACCATGTGCGGGTATTCACCGGGTGTTGCCAATACGCGTCCATCGAATTCAGAGTCGTTTGCGTCCGCCGAAGTATCTTCGTCATTGCGAAATATGCGTGCAATATATTCATTGTATTCTGTTTACGAATAAAGCGACAAATATTACAATACGTCATTGATGAATAAATTAACCCAGCAGTGAATGGCCAGGCCTTAAAAGCGAAGAGGTAAAGTGGAATAATATGCCTGAGTTCATAGCTGAAAAATAACACGATGATCTCTGCTAATAGGATCTGACAAATTCAAGGAAGGGAACTACTAAAACCTGAAAAATCTGAGATCAGTCTCTTTACTAAAACAACTCAACACCCTCTTCTTATATAGATACCTTTATAATTCCTTTCAACTTTGTTAAGTGTCTCGGTGCAATCGTTGTTAAAAAAATGACCTTGAGAGAACGTACTAAAACTAGGACCAGTAAAGCGCTCCGAGTTTGGATTACTAGTAAAACAGCTATTGCGCCTAAATGGGTGCCACTGGAGCATTAGTGTTGTGGACGACGTTTATGAAGAAGCGCCGTAATAAGAATTTTGAACACGTTCGTCGTATATCGAAACTACCTCAACAAAGGCCATATAAGTCATCCTTGACATTAGGCAATCAATAAAGAAGTGGTGTAGGTACTTAACTGTTGGCATCAGTCCCCAAACTGCGAGGGACATGCTGGTTTCCAGAAATTTATATCGGAACTCGAGCTAAACGTCCTAGTAGAGAACAGTAGTCTGAAGATGAAGCCCTCGGTAGCAAAGAAGTTGCTCGCATCCATACCGACGTGTCAAAATATCAGGCAGGCACAGCAGGGTTTTTCTCTGACCAACTCTCTGTACCAGCTCTGTATTCCAAGCAGATATTGTGGATATTACTAAAGCTTTCCGGTTTCTGGTAGGCAGTCCAGCGGCAATTAAGTGCGTCAACATAAAGTCCAAATGTGATAGAGCATGGAAAGAGGTAATTAACAAACTATCGATGGGAAGATCACCCTGATGTAGAAGACAATGAAAAGGTGGTTGGTGCCGCTAGCGAGGCCGTCACTGCCGACTGCTTGAGACCCTTCAGCGGCTTCAAATATTGTTTAAACTAGTGGACCGTATAGAAACACTTAAGATCCTGGAACTCATCCAGCGTAGGACAACATTGCTCACGCGTAGCGTGGAGCTGTTACTTGCATTGAGCAAAAGAGAAATTAGCATTCTTATAGGTATATTAAAGAGGCATACATCTCTGTGATATCATCCCCATAAGCTAGGTTAAGTGGAATCGGCTACGTGCAGACATGCACTGGAACATTGGAGAGCTTGTGTTTGCTTTTGATCTTTCTAGAGTTGTTCTACATTTCCTCTTAATTCAAAAAGTTAATGCCCTACCAAATTTACTAGAGGGAGAGGTTGAGTATAAATGTAAGCACGCAGAAGTGTGTGTACTTACTTACTTCACACAGACGACGGTTTTCCCCTTCTGGCCTTTGTTGAGTTATCTCTTGATTTTGTGAATTTTCGCTGGTTTGAAGACGCTCACGATTAGGCACTTCCTGTTCGCGTACACCACTATCACCACGTTCATGATCCCGATCACGATCACTAAGTCGTGCTTGATCACCATTAAACGGTCGATTACGTTCAAAATCAAGTTCATTTTCTCTCCTGCGTTTCAATTCTTGCTCAAAGTAGTCGGCATTTCTCTTTGATTCACCCACAAAGCTTTGCACACGATTACGCTCACTTTCTTGTACTTGTTTTCTACGTTCCTGCTGATTATCCGCCCGGCGTACATTATCCCTTTCGGGTAGGAACTCGCGCTCACGTTCACGTTCACGCTCACGCCCATTAAATTCGTACTCTTGCCGGCGGCTTTCACTTTGCTGCTGGTCGGTATTGCTTGGAAATACGATTTTAGCCTCGTTCACAATGCGATTCGTATTGGAGGTGGTCGTGAGTGTTTGTTGAAAACTCACACTCGGTCGTGCTGAATTGCTTTTTCGTCTCACAATTATATCCACCTCAAACTCATCGTTTTCTATACGCGTCACAGATTCGTCAATAATATCGTTATGACGTTGCGGCTGCTGCTGTTGTTGTGGTTGTGGTTGATATGTTTGAATTGGCGGCAGCCGATTTTGCGCATTCACCAACAGTGACAAGGTCACCATGGACGCGAGTAAAGTAATTATCGTTTTGTAGCACATCGCGATTTCCTGCTTGCGGCATGGAAAAATACACGAGTTATTTACCGAACTTGGGGAAGAACTGAAGAAGGCTGGTGCTCTTCAGCAAACCGCAATGCGCACGCTTGCGATGTGAGTAACGAACTGAAATCTATAGGGTAAAGAAGACAGAGATTATCTGTTGCTTGTTCTCTTATCGGATGCGTGTTCCGTGTAGGTAGTAGGTACATGCGCTTTTGACTCGTTCATAAATACATACATGTAAACATACATACATAGCGACTATCTGATTAGGAGCAGCTCAGGCAGTTTCTGAGAATCGACCATAATGCATACACTGAAGATAGCGGTTTTTTTGTTTGAGTTTCTTTTGATTTTTTTTTTTTTTTTAATTTTTGATGCTTCTCTATTTAGAAAGAAACAATTTTTTATTCTTTATTAATTGATTAAAGAACGGATTAGCTTTGATTGTGTGGCAGGTCGTAAATGAACTTTTTTCTTTTATACGGATACGAATCTCTACTACGTTATTCGGAAGACTAACGAGGGGATGAGAATTATTTATGACAAACTTTTACTTTTGTGTGGAATCAGTTAATTGGAGAAGACTTAAATCTTATCTCTGAGAAGTGGACCAGGGAGTGACCTTTTCCAAAAAGCATAATTTATTATTCTATCTCTCTGTACGCAGATCAACGCGAAGACTACTCTTCTCTGCGAGAAGTGGACCAGGGACTGACCTATTCCAAAAAATATGACTCATGATTCGATATAGCTGAAATTCGGTACGTACGTTGCTTCCGCTAAGATCAACAGGAAAACTACTCTTCTCTCAGAAAAGTGGACCCGGGCTAGCCTATTCGAAAAGGTCGCAATTACTTGAAATTCGGTTCATATTGACTTATTCGAAGGCTAATTTTTCGGAATGACAGGTTTTCAAATCATCAATCTTGTGAAAAGTTACTTTGATTTGAAGAGGAGTGAAATCTTCTAAGAAATACGATTTGTGGTACTTGCTTTTTGCTATAAAAAGGGAGAAGCGCTGAAAAATAGTGCCGGAAAATTTGTATGGTACACGAATGCTATAACTGAAAACCGAACCCAGGAGAGGTATTTTCGATACCGTTCCGGATATTTCGACGCCAAAGATGTACCTCGTTCTGTACGTCTAATCAACCAAAGATACGATGAAATGCGGCATGCAAACTGACAAAGCGCCAATTATGTATAAACTGACAGAAGAAAGCGGAGACAAAAGGCATCTGCGCCATTTGGCTAGACCACATGCATATAACCAGGCAAAAATTGACGCAACTTGGCTGAGAAGTTTTACACCTACCATACAGCACAAACCTTGCATCATCGCCACCACCATTTGTTATGGTACCTCTGCAAATAAGAGGTTCAGCGGGTTAGCAGTACCGGTTTTCGGTGGCGTTTGGCTGAAGCTGATGACGTTTAACTTACATTTGATTCCATTCAATAAAAGAGTGCTGTATGAAAAGTCATCTTAAATAGATCGTATGTTTCTTCGAGAACGGCAATGCGTAGACCATGAAATGTTCAATTGATCATTGCATTCCTTGAGGTATGATTGTACCAATGGAAAGGTTTGTTGGTGTTTTTTTGGACCCTCAGAATTAGCTTGGCGTAAACGTTTACTTCTTGATGTTGATTCTGCAATTTCAGTTGGAGAATTTGTGCGGACTTCACATACTTTCTGGTGGGATAAAACGGACAACAGCAGTCGAGACTATCTTGTGTAATTAGCGTTAACTAATAATAAAGGTGACTGTTGAGAGGAGCCTACTGTAGGTGTTCTCAGTATCAGTCCGCTTTGTTGAAGTTGACATAAGTGAACGTTTTTGATGCAGAATTTTGAAACGTTTATCTGTTCCAGATAGAACAAGATCGTGGTTTACGTTAAAGCCGCCAATCGCTTGGGCAACAAGAAATGGTAGAGAACGCCTGACTGGATAGCTACGCGTTGACATTTTAGGGTAGTATCATTGCGGTAGGTGCCGACAAAATGAGCACTAAGACTCCATCATTCTCCCATTCGCGATTCTTAACATCGGCTGAGCTTAGAAGATCTTAAGATCGTTAAGCTTGGTTTCCAACTCTTTGAGATGTTTTGTTTAACGTTTTCCTACAGGGTACTTTCTTATTGCAGTGTTGATATAAGTACTCATTTAAATTCCTTTCTTTTTAGATATACACACATACATAAAAAATTGTATACACATTTATAAAAAAACAAAAAACTGTTCAGAAGTCCTCTTTATTTTGATTTAAATATTAATTTTTAATGTGGCTGGATCAACAACGCTGGCACTTTGTATTTGATGAAATTGTGACGTGCCTCCAAGACTTTCATATTGAGCTGGAAATATCATAAAATTATATTATTCATTTAGAAAAAAGTGATATTTTTTAAATGAGAAGAGAGTTGGATTGAAATATTTTGTATTTATATAAATATATAGAATTGAACCGGTTGTTTATATACTCATTAATATTTTTCTTGCATTTAAATAGCTATAACAGGGTTTCAATAATGCTAAGCAAATTTATTCTGAATTACCAATAATTTGCTTTTGTAATTCTTCCAGTTCCTGATCATTGCTGTATTTCAAAAATTGCACACCTGGTCCTTCAGCTGGCGCTGCGGTGACTAGCAGCAAAAGGCTGGCAAAGGCGACGAAAATGACCTGAAATATACTTATAGATAATTTTTGCAAATTTTTTTTTTCAAACATTGTATTTAGTATAAAATTTTAAAGCTCTCTCAAAAAAAAAAAAAAAAAAAAAAAAAAAAAAAACTTTTTTTCCTTTGCAATATGCATTATTCCACACAAAAGCAACATTTTGTACCGTAAATGCTCATGTGCCTACTGAAAACAAGTTTTGCTCTGTTCCAATTTTAGATTGTGAAATTTGACACACTGACACACAAACTTATGAACTTTATTTTCGATTTATTTTATTTTGTTTATTTGATATTTTTATTATTATTATATTATTTTGCTCACTTTTAATTTGTAATTTTGATTCATTTGATTTTATTTCATTTCATTTTTTGAACTTTTTTGAATTAATTTAATTTAATTTTATTTGATATTATTTTACTTAATATTCTTTAAATTTATTTAATTAATTTTTTTTATTTCCTTTTTTTATTTGATTTTATGTTGTTTTATTTTAGTTTATTTTATTCTAATTTATTTTATTTTATTTTATTTTATTTTATTTTATTTTATTTTATTTTATTTTATTTTATTTTATTTTATTTTATTTTATTTTATTTTAATTTATATTATTTTATTTTATTTTATTCAAATTTATTTTATTTCTTTGATTTTATTTTATTATGTAATAGTGTTTTTTTATTTGAATTTTTTTAATATTTTATTTTTATTTTATGGGATTTTTTTATTTTAATTTACTTCCACATTTGTTAAAATTTATGTATATTTTCACCCTTTTTTTTATTTAATATAGATTTTTTTTTTGCCAAATATATATATATGGAATCATAATGTCCGACTGCCAACTTAAACAACTTACCAAAATAGTTTTCATTTTTCTGATATTATTATATAATTGTTATCACACTTATCTCAAACACCGCCGTTTCGAACGCCAACTAAGGCGCCTGCAGACACTAAAGCTTCATTTTATAGTCATCGCCAAATTAGCTAACAATGTTAATAAAATATAAAACTAAAAAAAAAAAACTAAATCAAGTCGTTTGTTCAGCTAATCTCCGTGAAACATATTAAAATTTAAATTTCATGTTGACTAACATGTTTCATTGTTTAGTACATAATTAGTGTTTCATTAAAGTTGCGAAAATAGTTTTGAAGTCTGGTTTATAACTTTTAGTATTTTTTTAATTTAATTTTATTTTTTCAACGAAAATCGCTACCAGTTTTGTTAAAATCAAAACGCTTTTGGCGCTAATCACGCGGCGTGTTTGGTTGGCGTTACCGGCTGCCGGCTCTTCATTAGTTCAAATCTTATATATAACTATTATAATTAGGTTTTGTAGTTTTTTATTTTTTTGCTTTTTGTCTGCATTTTTTAATCAATGTCATCAAATTCAATTAGTATAATTAAATTAATTAATTTTTTTTATTTATAATTTTATTTATATTTTTTTTTATTATTTTTAATTTATTGTGGTATTTATATTTTATTCTACTTTGTAAATATTTTATTTATTTAAATTTATTACGTTCATTTATTTTATTTTATTTTTCTATTTTATATCATTTTATTTTATATAATTTAATATAAATTAAACTAATTGAATTTTATCACATTTCAATTTAAATAATTTTTTTATTTAAATTATTTGATATAGACTCGTATATTGTAAATGTTATTTCACTTAATATAAACTAATTTTTTTATTTTATTGTATACTATTCAGTAGTATACTATACTATACAACTCTAAATTTGTGGTCTTTACTTTTGTTTATATTTATTTAATTTAACGTAATTTATTTTAATTTATATAATTTTTTTAATTTGTTTTAATTTATTTTAATTTGTAACTTTATCTAAATTAATTAAATTAAATTTAATTTTTTTCATATTGATTTATTATATTAATTAATTTTTTTTCTAATTTTACTTAAATTTATTTTCTTTCCATTTTAATTTCATTTAATAAAGTTTTATTGAAATAAACTGTTCGCTTTCGCCCTGGTCCGGTCCATCGTAATTCTTTTTGTTCTTACAAGGATATCAACCAACTGAGCTGTGGCACCATCCTAATTAAGGGACCGGACATTCCAGGTGCGTACGTTTGCGAGGGTCGTCATCATAAAAGGAGTTTCTCACCCGAGACATGTGTTTTCATTAAGGCTGGTTTCTATGTAGCGGCTCCCAAACCTAGTGTAAAACCTCACTTGGGGAGTGAGTTTAAAATTTCTACACTTTTATATAGCGAGCCGTCGTTTACTTCAAGACCGACGCCCTCTCGTAGCTTCACGCTTCAATGACTCTTAAACTGACAGTCCATCTGCAATCACACCTCTTCAATGTAATGGTACCACATCAAAAGATACCATAAAATGTAGAACATTTCTTAACAAACTCCCAAAGAAGTACAGTACTGCCATTGTCTGGGTACCTAAACACATAAACATTCCAGGCAATTGCATAGCAGACGAACCAGCGACGCAAGGAACCCTTTTGTCCAAAATAAAACATACACACGATGCTGATTGGCCTTATTAATGAAGCTGACTCAAATTGTTTGAACGAGATTACGTACAACGTGACCGGACAGCTAGGGCCGTGGTTGGAAGTGAAAAAATCAAAACAAATTATCCTTCTAGACCTGTTGTCCATATAAGTAACGACTGGCATAATAACTAGACACTGTTTAATGGGATACCACGCAGCTGTAGGGACGAAGAAGAGGAGGCACTACCTCTGCCACTGTGTAGCCTTAAAACACTTATTCGACTGTCTCGCTGAGTAGGCCTCAGCAGCCGCATCAATTCAACTTAACTCTATTCGGAGTGGCTTCTCTGAAGCTTCTTCTCTTTTAGCCGTGACCCTAGGCTTCACACGGGTTGGTTGCCGTATCTCGCACAAGGGTTGCTTACGTTTCAAGGGTGCGCGACGTGGATGCAAGAGTAGGAATTGAGTATAGCTGCGCGACTGGTACTGCACATTCAGAAGAATCACTGACAATATAAAAACCAGCTCGTTCACCATAGATTAAACAGAACATACTTTGGTTCCAAACGTAAGGAATATACTTATCTGACCAAACTTTACAAAGAAGCTGATGTATGCTCTTTGTCAGTTCATTGGCTTCTGTTGCTATGTTATTTCGGGTTCGTGGCGAATGGAATGTCTGTACCACTTTAATCGATTTCCCTCATCAATCGATACTCAAGGAAGACATCAGTCGGCAGTTTACATTTTTAGGACGTACATAAGTATACCCCAGCCTTGAAACCTTCTGTAAACGTTACCACTCTTCTTTGAAGCTTGTCGGCTAGAGTTTTCTAGAGTAGAGTAGAAATATTTATAGATTGCAGTGATCCGATCGATAGATCTAGGACACTGCTGGGATGATTGCTGACTATCAAAAACAATTTGGTTGCGAGATTTTCGATATGGTCACAGCCATGATGCTGCAGCGCCAGCTGCTAAGATTTAAAATTCTAAAGTTTTGTTGGTTTGTAGAGAAACTCCTCCGACAGTGCCTACGGCTTATGTAAGTTTCACGAAATATTACCTTCGATGGAAGGTTCTCTGAACGATGATGGAAAGCTCAGAAGTTGTAAAAATTAATGTTTTCAAACTTTAAACGAAATACGGTCTGAAATTTCATTTGCTATTCACTTTTAATAATATTAGTATTGCCATTGCTACACTCTGTACGCAGCCTTAGCGTAGCAATTAAGTGATGCCACATTTACAGCTCAACGCTACAGATGCGCTCGACTTCTTATTGATTGCTGTTAATGGAGTGTTTACGCGTGCGCAATACAAATTGCCAGCCAAACACAAGGTCAGCATGAACGGTGAGGAGGAGCAAACTAAAAAATATGTACACTTTGAAAAAAAAAAAAAAAAAATGTTTCAATCACTTATATAGCTATATATGTAAATAAATATGCTTACAACTACTACAAGTGTCTCGATTACTGCACGCGTCTCAACACAGCTGAGATCAATGAACGGCCGCAAGCAGCCGTTGCTACGTAACACAACAGTTGGTCATCTCTTACAACAAAATTTGTTGTTGTTGTCGTTGTTGTAAATTGAATAGTTTGCTTATATGTATTTAAGTACACATGAATTATTTCTTGTTGATGCGTCGCTTGTTAGCGGGTGATGAGCTACACTTGGTGGGCCACCTTTTTACGCGCGCTCGTATGATGAATGGATGCCAGGGTCGTATAAACTTCACTTTCATGATGACTTTTTTTCGTTATAAATTGTTGTTGTTGGCATAATAGCTACTGTGTTGTGCTTGATCTATTTCTTATATTTTTATTTATTTTAAAAAAATTGTTTCATTGTTTTTAATGATCTTCAAGTAGAGGCGAACAATTGCTTTATTAACTTTGTTGTTAGAATGTGATGATGGGTCCAACGAAACCGTTAACGCTACATTAGTTTTGTTAGTGTAATGTTACTGTTACTATTAATATTACTATAATGCTGTTGGTGCGGCTGCTGCTGCTTCACCTCTACTCAAGTACTTTGTGGACAAGGCAACTCTGTGTAACTGACAGACGAAGATCATTTTTCTCAACTGTCGATACGTGCAGGGGTTTCGTGGTCAGACCAGAGTGCCTCTGCCCACTTCTGTTTGTTTGTTTTATAAATCTTCGCTGTTGTTTGGAATTTGCTTAGTGTAATTCTTGTTGCAGCCGTGTGCGCAGTTGTTGAGATTTTGTGCAACGTTTTTGTTTTTTAAGTGAAAAAAAAAAATAATAATAATAATAAAGTTCTTAGAGGCATAAATAATAGATATAATAATAAAATTGAGTTCCTCTGTTACTATGGTAATGTAAAATGTGATTGTGCGAAAATTTTCGAAACACAAAATTGAATTTAACCATTTTGTTATTCTTTTAGGCCAAATTATTGCAAGTTTTATTGTTTGTGTGTGTTTGTTGGCAGCATTTATGGTTTATTAACGGTGCTACAGTGATGCCTTTGCGTATCAATCATCCTGTGAAAACTCAGCAAAGAAACAATGAATATCTACCACCGTATACCACTGAGAGTAATGGTGAGTTTCGGAAACTAAATAATTTCGGTTGAAACATGTTTTAAGTAAATTGTGCGGGTGTTATAAAGCAATGGCATTTAAGAGGGCTTACAACGCGCCATTAGCACGGGGAGTGTTGGTTCGTTAGTAGTGAACCAGGGCAAGACGAAATATCTTTCGTCATCAAGCAAACCGTCAGGGTATTCGCACCTTGGCTCCCAGTATTGACACCAACAGAAATAACAGCATTGAATTCCGATAGTTGCTAATTAGTTCAAGTAGGCAATTTTGGTTAAAAGCCCTCAGTCGATGAATAAAAACCAAACTTTAAGTTCCTCACTATCGCCACTCTGCTATATGATGCAGAGTCGTTGACCATGGCAGCAGATGATGAGTTGGCACTAGGAAAGCTAGTGACAATGCGGATTGATCTGAAACCGAAACCGAAGGCTGCAGGTCGCAGTTACACCTGCCTGCTATACCAAGTAGCTACAGATCTGCTCATCAGCTGTAAGGAGAAGGAGATTCCCTAATTATTATAAGCTCAGAGTCAGAGAAATAAATGCTGACGGAATATGTATTAAAATTTTTGCAGAAACATCTAATAGGGTCGTGTATTTCAAAATTGGTTCTGCGTGAACCCAATGAAGGGCGCCTAAAGTGTCTAGATGATCTTAAAGGGTTGGTAAAGTTAAGTTCGCTAAGTGGGAATGGACTATTATACTGACAACACCTTTGGTAATTTAATTTAAAAAGAGAACTTCAAGCAACTCTCTATGACTATGGAGTGTAGCCAGAGTAAACAACTTAACATATTCCAAAATGGGAGTAACAAGTGAAGTAAAGAGCAATTTATTAATATTTGGGTCGTTGAACTCCTTAACCCAATGTTTAATGAAAGCCAAGTCTCCGCCGTTAGAAGTAGATGAAGTGAAAGATCTCCAGATCCAGATGGCGAAGGATCTGACTTCAATTGGTGTCTTCAAGTAACACCAAATGGCTAAGATGCGAAACGAAAGAAGCGCTGTTGTCAACTTGGCTGTAATCCCATATCTGTGCCGAGGCCAGTAAGGCAGAAGAAGTTTCAGGGCTCGATAAACTTTTAAATTCCAAATTGTACCCACTAGAAGTTCATCCATAAATCACCATTAATTTGATAACCTGCAACTTCTAAAATAGTTCAGAGTTCGAGTTGACAAATCGATGCTAAATAGAAGGGTAGAGATGCGAGTTTTCCTTTCGGCTCCCCTGACTGCAGGTTGGATAATACTAAAACTGGTCTGTTGAGCTTGGCGCGAATACTTTAAATCATGGGGTCCTCTCTAACCAAATCTAACGTATTTCAACCAAACCTTACTTAGCCTGACCTAACCTGGCTCATCGCTTTTGATCTATACATATGTATATTATCTGCCTGAAGCCCCTTTTGGCCGTAATCTCTTCCAATTAGTGTTATGCTTGGATTCTTACGAGGAGCTTTTTTCTTGTCAGATATACACAATGCCAGTTTCTTCAACATTACCTGGCCAAGGGCGGCCGCAATTAGAAAAAATAATTTTCTATAATTTTGGATATTGGTCGAACCAGAACTCCAACCGTGGCCTTGCGGCTATTACGGCCACAGGTAATACAAATTCTATTAACTAGTGCAAGGTAAATAACCGTTAACTTTAGTAGTCAGTTAGAGAGAGCAGTAAGTGCTAACTGGTGAGTGTTGGGTCAGAGTTCGAACTAGACCAGCACCTGAAAGGGCTTCATTTAACCGATGCCAAGATAGAGAATGTCACTGCTCGAAAGTGTTTACACCAAGAACTGATAAATCAGTCGGCGGCAGAAGGCTAGTTGTAGCTTCACTCTGTTTGTTGTTTAATAAGTTTCCAGCTTTGGTAATTCGAGAAGACCGCACGTAAACACACTAACTCTGAGCTTGCAAGGCAGGATACTTAGTTTAGAAGACTGCTGGTTCAATATCAGTTGGATCCCCCTCAGCAGCTTTCGGAAATTATTTCGTTTGTATTCGCCTTGAGTTTGTTCTTTAAGTTAATTTCTTTAATTAAAATAAATTATATAGATTAGTCCTCAGGCATTGTTGAAAGTTCTAAAATTCATTTGCCCCACTCCATTTCAGCTGATAAGGCCATCAACTACAGTGCCAATACAATCCGACCGCCTTCGTACCAAGCCAACAAAATACAGCAGCAAATGCCACAGTTTAACAAAAACAAAATTACCAACACTGAAGAACAGCAGCAGAAGCAACAACAACAACAGGAGCAACAACAACATCAACAAAGTAATAAAAATCTCTACACTTCATACGCCGCACCAGCTTCAGGCTCAGCGCCATTTTTATACTCGCAACCACAAGCGGCCAACCGCGTGCCATTGCCAACGCTCTTTCCAAAGTCTTTGGTAGATCAGCTGTCACCAACCGCACAACAGCAGCAAATGCAAATGCAAATGCTATATCATCATCAACAACAACAACAGCAACAACAACAACATCAACCGCAATCACAATATTTCGATCAAACGCAACAAATTACCGCTGATCTGCCACTAACCAACGCGCCATTGCTAATGGTCGAAGAGCCCACTTCGTCGCTACTGACGCCGAGTCAAAATCTTACGCTTGAGGCAGCGCGCATTTTAGCCTCTACACTGCTGGAGGCCAATGGTGAAGCGCCACTGGAAACACCTGGTCTGGCGCCGCTGTCAAACCCAAACGGCTTGGCGCTACCCAATCAGTTGAATAGCACCGATGTTTTGATTTTGAAATCACAGAAGAACGCTTACATAATACCCGCGCAGTTGGCCAAAGGTTTGTTGGCAGCGAAGTGGCTCGAAGAGCGTGCGAATGATTTATAAACTAAAAGAAATTAATTTAATCACATATAACACAGTCACATGCTCACATATTTGTATGTTTGTATGTCTTTACAGATGCACGAAATCCATCCGCAACACGCGCGCTCTACCAGATGCGCGATCAGTTGGACAAGGCTTATACCATAAATCAATTTGTTTTCATTATCAAACCGGAGCGTATCAATTTCTTGAATAAATTGGTCTAATGCGTTGGGTATTTGATTAATTGTTATTGTTGCTGTTGTTGTTCTTATACAGCACTCGTGCTTTTTAAGGTGTCATATACTCATACACTGTTATTTAGTATTACTGTCATTTTCGCTTGTAGAACTTTTACTGCTGTTGTTTCTTTTTTTAACTAGACTTAGCGTAATTAAGTATTAAAAGCGTGAAAATAAATGTTTATTTGTTAATTTGTCATCATCGTTTCATTATTACATACATACGGGGTTTTCCAATTATGCGTTCGCAGAAAAATGACACTTTTTGAGATAAATGATCGAGTGTTTACTTCGATGTAAAGGGAAAGAAAATGGCATAATGGAAAACAATATCAGCCAAACGAACGCCACGGCTCCGTTTCCAGGACCGTAACTTTTTTATGAAATTTCCCACACTCAAATCATATTGTGGCTACTTGTTGATCTCAATAGCTTCAGGTATTCCATATTTGAAGTCTTGAATCGTTGGGTTATTGCTGTAGACCTCATATTTGTATTGGTCTTAAAGGCAGAAGTAGTAAAGTCTTAAATCCCAAAATCTCGTGGAGTTCACTTCGCCGAATGATAGCATGGTCAGCAAACGTTTCCCTTAAAAGATGAATGGTTTCGTTGCTTGTGTAGCACCTAGCGCCGCCCTGTTGAAACTTAAAGTTGTCCAGACCGTTCAATTTTGGACTTAAAAATCATTAATCATCTCTCGATGGTGCAATCCATTCAACCAACCGTTGCTCCAGACTCAATTTCGATAAAGTAAGGTGAAATAACCTCGCCGGAATATAAAACGCACCATACAGTTACACAGTGAGGATGGAGATGATTTTCCTCTTTGGATTAGGATTTAAATCTTGTGATTTCTGAGGCCCAGATGCAAAAGTTCTGATTATTGACGTAGGCATCGAAGTGGATACGGACGTCAGCAGTCTAGTTGATTTTTCGATAAAATTTCGGATAATTATTTAAGCATTTGAAGGGCCCAATCAGCAGAGACACAACGTTGTTGATGATCGTCCGGCTTGAGTTCTTGTGTTGACTGAACTTAATAAGCTTTGAGACTCAAGTTCCTATGCAATATACAGTGAACTGACGGTTGTGGAAAGACCAATTCCAGAGAACAACGATAAATGGACAAACCTTTTTCTTCAATACTTTGTGCTGCAGCAGCAATATTCTGAGTTGTTCTTGAGCCAGCTTGACCCAATAACGCCATTTTGCCCACCAATCCAATTTTTGTATTGCGGTCCGAAGGCGCTTCACGATGGCCATAAAATGTTTTCATTTCATGAATCGTCTCCGCGAGGTTCTCACCATTTTTATAGTAAATTTGAACAATTTCAATGCGTTGTTGTTGCATGTATCGTTCTATTCTTGAACTGTCGTAGTTTTTACTTGGCAAATGTAAAAGAATTAAAGTTTCAACACTTTACATGTATTGACCGTATTTAGCAATGGAAGTAAAAGAGAATTTCAGCGCCGGGATGCTTTCAAAATCCCGACGGACCAAGGATGGTGTGGACGGAGGAAACCTTCATCTTTCTCATAAATATCCATTTTTCTGATGCATCCTTAAGTACAAGAACCAACAGTGCCAAGATGGAAGATCTCTTAACGAAAAGCCAGAACAGGACGTTTAAACCATACAAAATCTGGGATATGAGGAAACTAATTACAGCAGTCCTTCGATAACAGCGTCAGCTGACTGTATGCTTAACTAAAAGGAGTCTTCAGTGTTAGCTACGTAGCTAAATTATGGAAAGTCGTCTCATAGATAGACCAATAAGTTTGACATTGTGGCCAAATTGTCCTGGTAACATGAACTTATCGAGCTAAAGGGAACGAGATATCCACACTTATAGGTCTTTTAGAAAATATTCTGCTAGGCGGGCTTGGGCGTACTGTCTAACATCTTCTTCAGAAGTTGCCCTTGGCAGAGGAACCTGACATCTTGCGGCACTTCCTTTGCGATTGCCTCGCACTTATAATGAGTATATTGAAACAGTAGGTTGAAGGTGGCAACCTTTGGAGACTTGAGCAAACTATCGAGGGCTTAGATATGCCGACTACTCAGTTTAGCATACTCCACATATTGGTTTGATTAGAAGATGGGGTCAGTAGGCCTCAGTTGCATCAAAATGTGCCCGTTTGGTGGCTTAAGGTAGGCTAGAGTTTGTATGGAAAGCTTTAAAAACAGCCGGGACTGTTTAATTCGACCACAATAAGACTAGCGTGAATAAAGAGCACAATGGGAATAAAGTTCGAAAGAGGTGTTCTGATGATCTATGCCCAGATAATAATAAGTATATGAAGACACCACTTCTCCAGCCGTCTCGGTGGCAGTGAAAGTGAAACATCATGAGTGAAGCACTCTTTCTCCCTTCCTACATTATGGTATAGAAGCTTAAACGTTGATAACACCCAAAGAGTCAGCTTTGGGAATCTTACAGCGAAAAATTTGGCGTCGAACTAACACGCTTTGGCTGAAAGACAACACGCTGAAGATGTAGCAGAAGATAGCTATGACGTATAAAGCAAAAAATCCTCTGGCTCATTATGAACTAGTATTATACCAGTCAAGCAGGAAATTTGGTGTTTCGAAATAGTGGACATAGGTTGTAGGGTGTGTGTGGTTAGGTTAGTAAATAAATAAAGGTAAATATTCCATTACCAGGCCAACCAACGGAAAGCTGATATACATAATATTCAGACGGCCGTCAAAGCATTTTTTTGATTATAGATCCTTAATCTGTTCTCTGATGGACACATTTTAAAATTCTTTAAGTTCAAAGAATATAAGTGAAGTTGAAACCACATTTTCATATCTTATAATTGTTGCACTGAACTTTTATTTTCGTGTTTTTTTCTTTTTGGTAAAATTTTTATGTGTAGAAATGTATACAAATAACAAATGAGGAACAATAAAACTTAACTATTAATTAACAAATCTCAAAACACAAACATGTCGTCACTTAAACACGCTTGTTGGGTGGTAGGTAAGCGTTGTCGGCGCCACCGGTTGGGGCAGCTGGTGCAGCGGGTGCGACTGGTTTCGAAGCGAAGTCCAACACAGGAGCAACACCGCCATTGTGGCTGCTAGTGTTACCGCCCAAACCATCGTATTGCGACTGGATAGCCTGCTTGGCGTTCTCAGCATCAGCTGGAGTGCGGTACTTGACGAAGTGCACCTCGGGCTTGTTGGCATTGTGGTGGTTGAGCGATTGCAATTTGTTAGCCAAATCACCGATGTCAGCTTGTTTGCTGAGCACATAAATGGCAGTACGTTCATCACCAGCAGATTTGGCCAATTGAAGGGCGGCGTTCTCAAGTCCAGAGTTTTCAGGTCCCTTAATGAAGACAACACGCAAGTTCTTCTTCAAAGAGTTGCCGAGCTGACCTGCATCACCAGCATCGTTGAATTCATGTTCGGGTGCAGTGTAGGTGAAGAATTCCTTGTTGAGTTCAGGGCCAGCAGGTGCGCTGTAGCTTGGACCAGCGGCAACTGGACCACCGTAGCTGGGGCCAGCAGCTGAGGGGCCACTGTAACTTGGACCGGCAGCAGAGGGGCCGCTGTAGCTTGGACCACCGGCAGCGGGACCACCATAACTAGGACCAGCGAGTCCTTGACCGCCGTAGCTTGGACCAGCAGCAGCTGGACCACCATAGCTTGGACCGGCGAGACCCTGACCACCATAACTTGGACCACCAACCTGGCCACCGCTTAAACCATTGCTCTCATAGTTGTAGCCGAGACTGCCTGCGTAAGCCACCGAGACGACGGAGCATAAAACCTGGAATTAGAGGGATTATTTTTATGCCATTTTAAGTGGTGTTCTATAAAAAATGTCTTACCAAAAAAGTGCGCATTTTGTTATTTAGTTATTGTTTGGCTTGCGACTCAGTTGCTTTCTGTTTGATTCATCCAAAATGCAGCCAATTTTATACGAGAAAAAGTTTCAGCCAGAAATTGAAAATATTTTGAAATGCAATAAAAATTTTACGATCAATTTCTAAACTCATGAAAATTCAACAAATATACTCAATATTCGATAAAACGAAAATGTCAAAAATTCTGTAAAAATTATGATACGAGTAGACGAAATTTGCACAAGAAAATATGTATGTGTATCAACAACAACTATCGCTGGAAGGTCAGGCGATACGGAGAGCATTCAAACATTGTTTGAAACAGCAGTTGGTATCATACATATTCATTATTCAGTGGCTCGCATCGACGCTGTAAAAAGTCGGAATGAATTTAAATTGCAAAATAAAGAGAAGAAAAAATCATATTTGGTCCGATCGGTCCGTCTGTCTCGGATGAACTCTTTTTTGGCTTAGTTTAGTTTTTGGACAGTTGATTTAATCGGAGTATTAGTCAACCACAAGGCACACACAAACGCAGAGCAGCAATTAATAAATAAGACAAAAGACGAAACGAAGAAAACAGCGCAAAATGTTTGCTTTCGAGGTCAGTTTTGCGATGCAAAATAAATTGCAAATTTATGTGCAAAGAGTAGGACCATTTATTTGAAATTAATTCGAAAACGTCAAATTGGCAAGATCCTTGCATAACTATTCCCAAAATTATTTGCATTGACATTTTTTTCTTTTTCTCTTTGAAATATTTTGAATTTATTAAATTGATTATAAATGTTACGTAAAAGTTTGCGCTGACTTAGAGGGTGTTACGCACTCGCAGCGAGCGCACGTTTCGTGGAATTTGCCATTTCTCAAGTCATTCCGATTCGTTTAAATTCATATTATAACAGTATTTTGGCTAAAAGAACACAAAATAAATTTAGAATTCAAGTGGCTGAAGAACTATTTTTTTATTTAAATTAACATTTTAATATTAAAAAAAAAAAAAAAAAATTATTGAAAAAAATAAGTGGAAGCTTTGTTCTCTAATTCCTAAAACACTCGTATAACCGCTGAAGCGATTATCAGCCCAGCTCCTTCGCCAACAATGTCTTAATTACAGTTTTCAAGTAATTTATTTTTTTCTGTCATTTCAAATATAACCAAAGGACAAAACCAGTGCGAAGCACCCTCTCGACCACACGCTTATCCTCCTATATCCTTTAGCCTAAGTTTCGCTTAATATATTCCATGGTAGTCTCAACCTGAACAAATATCAAAACTTCTATTTCTTTCTATTGGAAAAGTTTGTTTGTCCCCTTCTAAAGTCATTTTAAATCCTAATGCCTTATTATATTCTAATCGAATTCTATTTATAGTTCTCATATTCTTCTCTGTTCTTCTCTTATTCGCTATTCTCATACCTAACCGTATTTCAATTTCATTTATTCTTCTACCCTATCCCTATCCCTATCCCTATTCCTATCCCTATCCCTATCCCTATCCCTATCCTTATCCCTATCCCTATCCCTATCCCTATCCCTATCCCTATCCCTATCCCTATCCCTATCCCTATCCCTATCCCTATCCCTATCCCTCTCCCTCTCCCTCTCCCTACGGTTTTTATTATTTGTCTTCATTAAAGAGTCGGCCAGTACTGAAATAACATATATTGATGTAGCTGGGAATTATTGAAATTTAAATAATTGATATAAAAAAGAAATCTTCAAAAAAGAAATACTAGATAATTTACGAAAAATTGTCTTAGAATATGCACCTAAAAGTATGCAATATTTGTAGCTATGTGAGTCAAGGAAACAGCGAACCATAAATAATAATTTTTTTGGAATACTCCCGCTACGTGATATTACTAATAAATATATCTAAAGTCTCATTTATTTACTACCTACCCTACAAGAGTAGAAACAAACTCCTAAATATAGGCTGTAAAAAGCACGTCTTTCGTCAATTCTTCAGTAAATATACACATATATTTTTCATGGCACACGCGACATCCGTGAAAAGTGAAAAAGAAAATATTCAACTTGCAGCGAGCATTAATTAATAATAACAACAATGTGACACACAAGCAACAGTCTTGCATGTATTATATATATATATTATATAGAGAGAGAGAAAAATTGCGCCCTTAATATTCTTTTAGGCTACCTTAATATTATATATCTCCATATGTCTATGCTTCTCTACGTAACCGTCACGTTCATGACTTGTAATGTTGGCATATGCCACACATCACTGCTTGCGTACGCACAAATACACAAATACATACGCTTACATTTGTGAGCGAAATATATATATATTTTTTTAATAAATATGCATTTATGTAAGTGTGTCGATAATGTCAGGAAAATGTTAAAACGTGCCATTGACGCAGAAGTTGTAGAGCAGCTGAAATAATAATATGCGCGGTAGTGGTACTGAAATCTTAAGTAAAAGTCACGACGACTAAGGTGAGCTTAACAATGGCACAGCGACAACAGATAGGAAGTGTTAACGGAAAAGGAAGTGTTGTCTTTTTTTAGGATACTGTCTCCTCTTTTTTCCTTTCGTTGGCATATTACACATCGTGCATGTCAAATGTAATTTTCCACGCTCCCTCACCGAAACGTACTACAATGTAGCGTATATATATATATAAGACTGTACGTTCTCATGCGTCTGGTAGATGCGCAGAATTAAAGGGACACGAGTTTCGCAGAATAGTCTGCTTTATTTTGCGTTTTTAAGGCAAATGAAGTAAAACAGTTAAATAAAAAACGGAAATAAAATAAAATAAAATAAAATAAAATAAAAGAAGATAAAATAAAGTAAAATATAATGAAACAAAATAAAATAATTTTAAAAGCAAAAAAAAATAATGTAAATTAAAATAGAACATAATAAAATAATAAAAAAATAAAATAAAAAATAAGAAATAAAATAAATTAAAATAAAGAAAAATAAAATAAAATAAAATAGTATGAAATGAAATAAAATAAAATAAAATGAACTAAAAGAAGATAAAATAAAGTAAAATATAATGAAATAAAGTAAAATAATATTGAAATAAATTAAAAAACAAACAAAAAAAAATAAATTTAATAAACTAAAATAGAACATAATGATATAAAATAAATTAAAGTCAAATAAAGTAAAGTAATATAAAATAAAAAAGATAGTCTAAGACTAGATGAAATTAAGTAAAATAAAACAAAATAAAATGAAATTAAAATATATTAAAAAAAACCAATAAATAAAATAAATTAAAGTAGTAATAAAATAATAAAAATTAAAATAAAATAAAATAAAATAAGATAAGCTAAAATAAAATAATACAAATAAAATTATAATTCAAAACAAAAAAGTATAAAAAATAAAAAAATTAATATAAAAAAATAATAAAATTAATACAAAAAACTAAAAAAGATATGAAAATAAAATAAAATCAATGATAAAATAAAATAATATGTTATAATGCTTTACTAAAGAAAATAAATAAAAATAAAAAAGAAAAATTAAGCAAAAAAAAAAAATTGTGTAAAATGGAAAAGGAGAAAAAACTAAAATAAATACCACTATTATATATAAAGGTATTAGAATTAAAAAGAATTAAAATAATTTCAAATCAAAATAAATAAACTAAAAATAAAATAACATAAACAAAAAAAAATATATAATATTTGTACTAATTATTATATATATCTATATATATACTTGATTTAAAAGAATTAATTACAATTAACTAAAAATTAAATTAAATAAATTTGATAAAAATATAAAATAAAATATAGGGTATGTATGTACAATGTGTTATGATATTTAAATAAACGAAAAATAAAATAAATAAATAAATTAGAAAGAAAAATATGGTAATAAACGAAAATGAAATAAAAATAAAATTTAATAAATAAAATTTAAATCAATTAAACTAAATTGAATTAAAATATATAAAATAAAACATAATATAATGAGTTAAGCTTAATTAAATTATGTACATAATGAACTCTTTGTGTATTTGGAAATCATAAATTTCGTGGCATTATATCTGCTAACCTATGTATGTACAGATGTGCGTAGTTTAGCGCGCATCTGTCTTTTCTCAGTTGGTAATCGTATTTTATCTTATTTTTGTTTTTGTTTTTATTAATTTTCTCTCGGCACGTAAATTAAACGTTAATGCCTCATAAAGCAATGTCTTTAATGCCGTTTAATGTTTGCCATAAATACACCCATAATTGCTTTAATTGTCGTCACATACTTTTGACGGATTTAATAATGTCAACTCCGTTGATATATGTTTTGCTTTGTATGGCCGAATGCATAATTTTGCTGTGTTCATAGCACTCAGCCGCTTTTCTGGAAGTAAATCACATTTTATCGCTTTCTGGTTGTCTAATGATGCTGCATTGATTTACTGCCTGCTTTAGGAAGATTTTCTTTCCCTTCAAAGGTCTGTGAAAAATAGGGAAATCACCGGATTTCGCTGCTAATCTGAGAATATGGTTTAGGTTTTTTATAATCTTACACTTTGTTGGAAAATATTTAAAACTATTCTCATCAAAATGTGCATTTGTATATATATATTTTTTTTCAATTATTCTTGTAACTGATTGATGCGTATTTGTCGAACATGCAAATATTTCAAGAGTATTTTCTAGATTTAAATAATTTTATATATTTGTAGATATGTATACGTTCATTCAATTTCTTCTCAATTATTCCTTGCAATCTCCATTTCATTTTCTATTCATAGCAATTTAGTTTTATTCTAAGATACATCTCAGCCGATACGTACACATGTATGTACTATCAGAGTTTACTTCCAAATAAATATCTCTTTGATCCTATCAATTCTGCATAAGAGTTTTATTCAACAAATTTTTGTTTCATCCTTCTGTAAATGTTTTTATTTTTTTATTAGATTTGAGTTTTAAATGTTTTTCTCCAATATAAAAATAAATTATTCAAGAAATCTATTTGGATTTATTTTTGGCAAGTGTAGTGAAATATTATAAATTTGCTATCAAAAAAGCTTTCTCTTTTCAAACGTGTAGTCCTTCATTGTGTTCGGCTTTTGTAATAATCTTTTTTAAAATCATGCCATTCAATCATTCGAAAAATTTTCACAACTAACTGTTGGTA